AGATGGCTCATTTTGTGCCATGTAAGAAGACAACAGATGTTGTGCGGGTGGCTCAACTATTTTTCCAAAAAATTTACCGTCTTCATGGTCTTCCAACGTCTATTGTGCCGGATCGGATACGAGATTATTGAGTCATTTTTGGTGTTCTCTTGGGAAGATGCTCAACACTAGTCTTGATATGAGTATCGCTTACCACCCTCAAACCGATGGACAAACGGAGGTGCCTAACCGGTCTTTGGGGAATATGTTACGATGTCTGGTCGGAGAAAATATTAGGACGTGGGAGGCTCGCCTTTGTCAGGCTGAATTCGCTCACAACCATGCCACTAATCGGAGCTCCGGGTTCAGTCCATTTGAGGTTGTCTACAGTTTACTTCCGCGAGGTTCTCTTGATCTCACTAGTGTTCCAGATCTGCATCGTCGTCATGGCCGTGCGGTGGAGTTTGTTGAAGTGTTACAAGATACTCATCGCCAAAGGTGTGGCCAGCTAGAGCTCTTGGCGTCTCGGTATAAGCAGCAGGCTGATTCGTCCCGTCGTGAGGTGATTTTTAAAGATTGGGTGGTGTTAACTAAGGATCATATGCCTTCTCACGGGTATAATGACCTGCGGTCTAGGAAGATTGTTCCCGTTGAAGTCCTCGAACGTATCAACGCTAATGCTTATCATCTTCAGCTTCCACCTCACCTTAAGACGTCAAATGTGTTCAATGTCAAGTTCCTCTCCGAGTTTTGTGGCGATAACAACCATCCAGATACAGAGACGGATCTTCTTATACCCCGGGGGACCTGATGCAACGCATCTTGTCATGCATTTAACAACCGCCTTTCTTCATGTGGGCTGTGTTTTATTTCTAGGCATTTTATTATTTCTTGGGATTTAAGGTTTTAGTTTGATTTCCTTTACCTTTTAGAACTAGGGTTTTTATCGTTTACTTTTGGCTATTTAAGTTGTCTCTTAGCTTTGTGAGAAGACACATTATTATTGAATACAAATTCAGAGATTTTAAGCTTCTCTTATTCTTGACAATCGGCTATTCTTTGAATCAACGATTCTCAAGTTCGTCTTTGTTCGACTATTCAAGTGAATCAACGAGCTAAAGACAACCCCTCTTGTTCGGCTATTCAATTGAATCAATAAACAGCAGATTTCGTTGTGTTGGGCAGCGCCAAGTTGCATACAAAATGCTGCATAGAAGACGATGAACCAAGAGCACAAACAGATCGATGGTTTGTTCGGAAAATAAATAATCAAGAAGCTAATAGATGATTACAATTAAGCCCGAGAGATGTTGGAAGAGTAAGAGAAAAAGGAGAAAGAGAAGAGAATGCAAGAGACGGTAAAGATGTTGCATCAAGGGAATCCACAAATTTAAATCCCAAAGAAAAGGTCGAGAGTTTATGTAATGAAGTAGAGATGATAAGAGAAGAGATAAAGAGCTTGATGGATAAGTAATCAAATAAGTGTTACAGAGAAAGAAGAAGAGTTGAAGAGAATATAAGCTAAGCATTAGAGGAACAAGCATTGCTCGAGGAGAAGATTGCAATAACAAATGAAATATATCAAGGTATGGTCAAAGAGATTAGAGAGTGTGATATCAATAATAATAAATTGATTCTAATTAGTGTGGGGAAAAACTTGACGAAAAGCACAAAAGATATGTGGAAACGGTGGTTAATGTGACGAAGATGCTTTTGACAATGAAGAAGTATGGTAAAGATGAAGAAGGAGAAAGAAGAGGAAGAGAAGAAGCTTAAGTTCATGTAAGATAAGAGGAAACAGACAACGAGAAGTTGAAAGAGACATTGTTGGGATTAGGATAAGAGAAAGGAAGTGATAAGAGTGTTGTATGTATGGATCAAACACCATAGAGACCATTGTGAGTATCTTGAAGAGGTTTTGTACAAAATGGTTATGGCAAGAGGACAAGAAGACCACAACGAGCAATTCAAGTAACTGGATTTCTTTTCAATATTTGTATACGATTATTTATTTATTTTTATCATAAGAAATTTTGTGAAAAAGATAAATGATATTTAAATATAAATATATGAAACTTACAATTTGTGTGTTAGTGGAAATCGTAACTAAAGTAAAACCCTAAATCATAATCGCCTCTTAAGTTCAAATAAATACTTTCTTTTAGATATAAACAATGTGCATGCAGAAAGCGTTGTTAGGACATGAAGCTGCATGCTGCATACAAAATGCTGAACCGAGAGCACAAACAAATCAATGGTTTGTTCAAAAAAGCAATAATCAAGAAGCTAATAGATGATTACAATTAAGTCAGAGAGATGTTGGAAAAGTATAATACAGAGGACAAAGAGAAGACAATGCAAGAAACCGGTAAAGATGTTACATCGAGGAAATCCACGATTGTATATCTGGAAGAAACCGAATAAGTTTTACGTAATGAAGTATAGATGAAAATTTTATTAGTCTATTTGATATTTGTTTTTCAAATAAGAAAATTTTAATTATTTTATGAAGAGTTTTAGATATAACTCTACTGTCAATTAGTATTTCATGTTCAAACTTTTGTAATATAATATTAAATGAACTCCGTAATCGTTTAAAAAAGAAAATACTTAATCAAGTTTAAAAAATACTTAATGGTTAAGAGTGAATGAAATAAAACTTTGGTTGTGATTAGATTCGAAGAAATTAGAAATGCTAAAATGTATTCTTAAAGATCAAATATTATATAACAATGAGAGATAGTAGATGAAAAAATAGAATTTATGAGTTTAGTTAGTCAAAAGATTTTTCATAATGTTATATTTAAAAGAGGTATACTAACTAAAATAAAGTGACTAGAAAAGTCGAATAATATTGAGATTGCGAATACTACTTTCCCCTAAAATGAGGAAGTCATAGAAGTTAAGTCCCCACCATATATCCCAACAACTTAACTAATAAAACCCAATCAGTACGTTGTAGGTGAAAAAGATTAGAAATATTTTAATTTTTTTTTCTACTTATTGTCCACCAAAATATTTTAAAGAATATTTAACAAATCATATACAACTTTTATTTTTTCTTTCTTATTAACACAAATTTTTAAAATAGCATATATGATACTCAAAATATATAAAAGAACAATTATGTTAATACAAACCTAAATTAAAAGGTTATATAAAACTTCTGCATAGTATATATCAAAATATATTAAAATGGTTACCAAGTATAAAACATTATTAAAATAATTGATACATACATACTCACATTATTTAAATGATTATTAATTCTATATCAATTTGAAACAATAGCCGACAAAAAAAACAAAAAATCAATTTGAAACAATCAATATAAATATACCCGCACGTAGCGCTGGTTAATGATCTAGTCTATACTTTATAAAAGTTGAAGCTAAACTCCTTAAGCCGTCCACATATGATTTTAAACGACCAATCGCGATTAGGCATCTCACTAATTAATATATTTATATCTCATTAGTTAACATTTTTAAATTCTATTATTTCCTATACAAAATATTAATAAAAAGGGAAAATATATAGAAAAATAGAAATATAAATTTTTGAAAACAATATATGAAATATATGAAACTAATTATAATCTTTGTATATAATTTTGAATATAAATTTTATGTCAAATAAAGTTAAATTTATGAATATGAGTTGTAAATTGTAATAATGGCGATTCATGTCTTCTAAAATATAAATTTTATTCTTTTGTGTATTATTGAAAGTCATAAAAAAGGTAAAATTTAAATCATGAACGCCTCTTAAGGTATTATAAATACTTTATGTTAGATAAACAATATGGAGAAAGCGTTGTTCGGACAAGAAGCTAAACCGAGAGCACAAACAAATCAATGGTTTGTTTGAAAAAACAATAATTAAGAAGCTAATAGATGATTACAATTTACAACGAAGCCAGAGAAATGTTGGAAGAGTGCAAGATCGAGGAGTAGAAGAGAATACAAGAGACCGGTAAAGATGTTGCATTGAGGGAATCCACGATTGTAAATCTAGAAGAAACGGTAGAGAGTTTAGGTAATGAAGTAGAGATGAAAAGAAAGGAGATATAGAGATTAATGGATAAGTAAATGAAAAGTGTTACGGAGAAAAGAGAGTTGAAGAGAATATATAGAAGCTAAGCATTTAGAGGAATAACCATTGCTTGAGGAGAATACACAATGATAAATTAAACGTATCAAGGTATGATCAAAGAGATTAGAGAGAGTAAAGCAATAATAAATTGATTCTAATCCATGTCTGAAAAACTTTAGGAGAAGCACAAAAGGCATCAGAGACGATGGTTAATGTTTTGACGAATATGATTTTGACCGCAAGGAAGTGTGTGGTAAAAATGAAGAATGAGAAAGAAGATATGCAGACAAAGCTTGAAGGTCATGTAAGATAAGAGGAAATAGACAATAAGAAGTTGAAACGAACATTGTTGGGATTAGGAAATGAGAAAATAGGAGTGATAAGAGAGTTGTGTGTATGGATCGACCAACATATAGAGACCATTGTGAGTATCTTGAAGAAGTGTGTTCTGTCAAAAATAGTTATGGCAAGAGGACAAAGATAACCACAAATGAGCAATTCAAGTAACTTTTTCTCATTATCCATACAATATATGATTTTTGCTTATTTTTATCAAAAATTTTGTTGAGAAACAAATAAATAAATGAAATAATATTTATCTTGAAATAATTAATAAATAAAACATTATAGTACTATTGTATACTATATGATACAATATACCCATTTGAAAAATCCATATAAATTAAATAAGTACTAAACAAATTAAATTAATAACCTAGTAAGTACTAAATAAATTAAATATATCAAAACTACAGTTGTTTTGGATGTGATTTGTAGAAAGAGGAAAAATAAATAAAATACAAGCATTTATAATTTCCAATCAGTGTACGCCACGTGCCAAATCCACGTAAACGTCGCGAAACTTCTAAACACGAAACGCGCAAAAGAGTCAAAAGGACGATATAAAATCTAAAGCTTAATCGCTTATTTTGGTAAACTTGTAATTAATAAATCTCTTTGAGATCGTTGTTGACGAAGAGACGAAGAAGAAGAACCCAGAAAATAACTTTACTCTTCAATGGCTTACGTCGAAGGAGGTACGAGGAAAAAAAACTCAAGATCTCTCTCTCTCTCTCTCTGGCTATCTTCGTCTTCTTGATCTCTTGATGGAACCTAATTGTTTCGTCGATTTGATTGTTCAATATTTCAATTCTCATATTACTTGAGCACAGATTCTGGAATTAGAAACTTTGATTTCTAGAGAATTTGGAGATTTAGTTTTATATATGACTGAATTTGGTTTGATCATGAATTTGGGTTGGTGAAGATTTGAGATTAGGTTAGAAAACTAATTTGGATTGAATGCTTGATGAACCTTTCTTTAGCAGTAGAGATTTTTAGGGATTTGGATATGTAAAATTGTGCTATTCAGGTCATATAGTTTAGCAAAGACTGAGCAATAGTTTGTGAGATTTATTGATGTTCTGTTTCTAATAGAGAATTTGATACGAGTGTATGAATGTAGGAAGATTGCTATATTCATGTTGTGCATATAGAAATTGAAATTTCGATATCTACGAATGTTAGGCTTTATATGCATGAACTTGGGTTAGTTTTCGATTTTTCATTTGTTTGTTTCCATCATTAGCAACATTATAGGCTTATGGAGGATGGAAAGAAGATTAGGTCAGTTATTGTTTGTTATTTTACAATTCTCAGGAATCTAATCTGAGCTTGATGAGAGTATATTTTAGACTTTGAATATATCTAAATTGTGCTACTCAGGTCACTCTTAAACTGAGTGTAAACCTTTGAGGAATTTATATTGGGGATACTTTGTTAGTAATGACTGAGTAATTGTTAAACTTACATTCGGAAATTTAGTGTAAGCCAGATCATGTTTAATGGTTTGTGAGTCATTGATGTTCTGTCCCTAGAGAGAATTTGATATGAGTGTTATAACGTTTTTGGATAAATGCAATAAGTACATTATTACATTATTCATGTCTTATATTCTTTTGCCATTGAAAAGATTAGTTGACTGAGTTTGGGATGGTTTTTTGAGGTCTTAGACAGAATGTAGTAGCTTTTCACTAAAACACTACTAGGGGAGAGAAGAGAAGCGAAAATTTCTGATGATAGATGACGATGTATTCTGAAAATACAGATTGTTACCTCTAATATTAACTGTATTATGACATTGAGAAACTTTGGAAAATGTACCAGGTGTGGTTAAAGCGAAACGACCAATATGGAGACTAAGGACGATCAAAGATTTTTTCTTATCCATCATTGATGTGATACAAGTCTTCTTTATGACCATGTTCTCGGTGAGATTTTACTTCCGTTTCTTGGGTTACATTCGTTAATCTCAATTGTCACACATCCGACTAACCTGAGGGAAAAATATTGGTCAGATGGAGAAATCAGATTCTTATAGGAAAGGCTCCAAGTCTAACAAGAAGTGGGATGGTGGCATGGGTGGTGGTGGTGGTGGCGGTGGTGGTGGTGGCGGAGGCGGTGGTGGAGGCGGTGGTGGGCCTCGTCGTGGAGGTCTGGACAATGTGCGTGGCTTGAATGATATTCGTGGAGCTGACCACAGTAAGTAACCCGAGATGAATTTGTTATTTAACCCTTTTTATGATAGAAAGCAGACATATGCCATGTTTATGATTCCTATAATTTGAGTTTTGACATGAATCTGAAGATAAAAAATTTATTGGTGGTTTTTCAGATTCACTACCGGCGTGCGGCTCGTGCTGTGGCTGAGACTTGTTCGTTGGAGTACCTAAGAATAAGCGAAGGGACTATTATCAATATATACATATTATCTAGTGTTGAAACGATGCTTTTGTAATTTGAGGAAGCAACGAATGAAAGATTCTTGTGTATTTTGTATTTGCATCAAGCTTCTTGTATTTAGTTAAACGTTTGAAATTGGGAATTCACTTCTAATAGTTCGTAATTTATATCCAACGTAACTAAATTAACTATTTTGGTAGAGATACAAAATGGAAGAATTTGTTAACAAGGTGACTAACTCAGGAGATGCAACTTCGAAGCCTGCGGATAAGGCGTAAAAAATTGTTTGTAATAGGTTGCGATGTTGCTCTTAACCGCGGTGTTAGTCATCCCACAATTCGATTGCTAGCTATATGTAAGGATCAAGTGTAAATGTGGCCAGCGAAAAGATGGATATGTTCTTCGATCCGCTACTGCCTATCTGCTCTTCAACTTTGCGGAATTATACTGTTCGCGATGAACATACATTCAAGTCACTTTCCAATCTGTTTCTCAACCAAGTCTCATAGTTTTGATGATCAAAAGAAACATATTATATAGTCGAGAAGTCTTTGTGACTAATGATTTCTTGGTCATGTCAACATTAGAGCAAAACAGCAAATCTCTGCAAATCTTTCTAGCAAAAAATTACAGATGCATGATAAGGTACCAATGCAACGCTTAACTTCTTATTCAATCTCACTGAACATGTAAATCATCCCGCACATCACTAGCAGCTTGTTTTATCCCTCTCAAAGCGGTAGAGTACGAAACCTTAATACCAAGCCTTTCTTGAACCAAACTTATAAGATTTTTCGGAGTTAAAGAGTTGACTTCACCTTGACAATTCTCACGCAAAACAGACGCAACTAACTGCGGTGTTCCTATCCTCTTATCCCTCCTTATACTCGTAGTTAACCGAGTGCAAGTATGAATCTTGTTATAAGTCCTAACAGAGAAACGATCCGAATTCTTAAGCTTCGCAACTCTTAAAGACCATTTGCAACCACTAGCACGACATTTCAACACGTACAAATCAGGCGACGACTTAAAAGTAACAACCTCAAAACAGTTCTGAATTATAGCTTTATCAACTAATTCTTGTACTTCCTGTTTACTCTCAAACTCTTGACCTAAACTCATACCAGTACCATCTTCCCATTCAACCTCCTCTTCTCCTACATCAGGCGTCGTATCAACATCAACAAACATCTCAGAGTTATCAACATAAGCAACTTCATCATTCTCCAACGGCGCATCATTTCTCGAAAGAAACTCACAACTCTGATTCTGTTCAACACCATCAACAACTTCCACATGCAAAACATCTCTACGACGCGTCTTATCTCCTTCCATTAAATACCCTAAAACATCTTCATCATCTAAAACATAAGTCTGCCTCTTCGGATCCTCTAACAACGGAATGTAACTTAACTTAAACGCCGCGATTGCTTCTTCGTCTAACATAACCTTTTTGCAAACTCTATTAACCAAATCAGAATAAGTGAACTCTCCTTTGATAACTAAAGTGTAAACCCTATCTTCTTTTCGATTCCATCGTACGTTATCTCCGTTGTTTGAATAGTATCCTCCGTAATCAAATCGTACTACTGTGCAATGATCATCTTTCATTTTTGGTCTTTTAACACAAATAACAATAGATTCAGTGAGTTTAATTGAAATTGAAATTGAAATCCCTAAAATTGGAACCACAGTAATATAAGAAGAAAGGATCAGAAGAAACCTGAAAATTGAGGTTTCGGGATTTGCACAGATGAGGTCGGAGCTTGAGTAAAGAGCTCCGTGGAGGAAGACGATGATGAAAGAAGAACCAAGGAGATACAATTTTCAGATCACACAATTTTTATTTTACATTGATTCTAATTTTTTTCTCGCCTAGGCAAAACAATCGCTAACCGATTTACTGACCGAACCGAATTGAAAAATGTTAAACCGAATTCGAACCGAAGCTTCTAAAAGAACCGAAAGGTTAGTAAAATTTCCTATCAAAATTAACTAAAACCGAACTAAACCGAACAGTTAACCATAATGTTCCAAAACATAGAAGACTAGATGATGACCCGCATTTACGTGCGGGTGTATTTTCAAAAGTATAGTTTGTTGGTTTTGTTTTCTTAAATAATGTATTGTGAATGTTCTATTGATAAGTTTTCTTTATTTCATCTATTTGTAGAAATAATGACTGCATTTTTAAATGGAGTAGTAAAATATAGAAAGTTGAATTGGAAAACCAAAGTGTATAATTAAAAAGTCTCGAATATGCTACTGAAAGTAATGAAACTGAAGGCTTAATTGCAGGAAATCAGAAGAAAAAAATGCAGACCTAAATTTTAAAGGTTCTTGAACACTTCTTTGAAAACCACATTGGTTGTTTTCTTCTTTGGTTTACCATCAGGTTCACAAACAAAATATTTTATGATCAAGGTAAGTTCTTAGATTAAAATTTAGTTATCCAAATTTTATGATCTCGTCCTATTACCTAAAACTCTTGTACCATATTTTATCAAAATAATTTAGATAATATTCTACCTAAAACTCTTGTTCCAAATTACCATTTTCTTTCTCTTCTCTGCTATTTCTAGTCCTAATATTTTAAATAGATATGCCTATAAAATTTTTAAATTTTGGTTATGCTTAAATAGTATATAACCGCAAAAATGATTTAAACACCATGAAACGGATCACAAAATTAAATAGTTTAAGTTTTTAAAAGTGTTTTAGGAATGGTCATATTAATCTAAAAAATGGTCTTCCACAAACATTAAAAATGGTCTTCTACAAACATAATAATTTAAGTATTTATATCTAAAAATATATATCTATGAAGAACTGAATTAGCTCTACGTTCGTGACTTATGCAGATTGATTTAATTGCTTATTTTTGCTAGTAACGATCCGCTGCAAAATTTGAATTTAGTCTCTTACATCATAACGAAGTTTATCCCAAATCAACATGTGCATTGCCGAAGATAAGCTAACTTATGCTACTGTCTAAAATTGATAATTATTTTGTTGGTGTTGTTCAATCTTAAGATATAGAAACTGAAAAGTTTTGAAAACTCTTATAGAAGCATTTGCCATTATAGAATGAGATCATACTTAAGCTATGGTGTTTTAAAATATTTATGAAGTAGGTGAGTTAATTGTTATTGCTTACACTATTTTTAAGAAGGATTTTGTCGTTGTTTTTTTGTAGAAAAACTTTTGGAAGCTGACAATTCTTTGAAGGCAATTCCATTATTGGACGCACTATAAAATGACAGTAGAACATTAAAGCTCGTCCTTCTAATCTAGTAAGAAGTCTTCTAAATCTTAAGATTTCTCACTCTGAATTTATTGTTTTATCGCATTGCTTCTCCATTGTATAACAGAGATGAGAAAACTGACAATAACAATGAAGATGATAATTTATCAACACCGTTAGCAAATATACGTAGGAAGAACATAATCAGCCTACATCCTTAAGATTCTCATTCTTGAGTTTCATAGTCTTATTCATCCCATCCTTAATCTTCTCAAGATTCATTGAAGTAATGTATATCTTTGTTATAAAAGAATGCCCAGCTAATTACCCTACAATTAAGAGTATTGGTATTAGACAATCTATATCTAGCATTTCATCTAGCACTAACAACTATAAATATATAACTGCTTCATAACACAAATGGATCACGTTTCATTTTTCATCAGTTTATTTTGATAAGTATTTTGTTTATTTAGGATGGAACTTACAGATTCATGACCCAATGTTGACTTGGACTCACATGCTTTTTTCATGTTCTTAAGGTACAGTAAAACCTCTATAAATTAATACTCTATAAATTAATAAACACTATAAATTAAGAGGGTGTTATTCAACCTTGTATTTTAATTGATTTGGATGTATTTCAAAATCTAGCGTTATTTAATGATATATTTTAAAAACCACAATAAAATTTGCTGTTATTTGATTTAATATTTGTTGGATGTATTTTAAAGTCCTTTAAAACAAGCCTAAATTTTGTTGGTCCCAAGTCGGGGCAGTGTAAAAATTAACTAAATTTGATAAGATAATAAGATAATAATTTTTTGACATCCCTATGTAAAATATAGTCCCAATAATATCATAAATTAATAATCACTATATAAATATATATATATATATATATATATATATGTATACCTTATATATATAAGTAGATATGTTGAAATATGCTTTTACCTTTTTGTAAAAATGAATTTTTCGCCTAGACCTCATCTCTATAAATAATACTTATGTTATATTTTTAAACTATAATCTTAGAATATATTCCATAATCTCACAAAATAACCAAAATTTTCTTTATGTTTTCTATTTATAAATATGCATCATATTCATTTTTGTTTTGTTTTAAAGGATGTTAAAAGATAACAATTGAGGTTTTAATACATATATATATATATATATATATATTTGTATATAACTGTATTTATTTTTATATTTTTAATCTATTGTTAAATTATTTTTCTAAATATAAAATTCAATTCTAAACTACAAACATTTATACAATTTTTAAACGAATCTTATTTTGTAAAATTGTCCCAATTCATATTTTCAAAAAACTTTAAGAGTTAAAAATACTACTATAAATTAATAATTATTAATTTACACTATAAAGTAATAAATATTAATTTATAGATAAATTAATATCACTGTAAATTAATAAAATACTGTGGTCCCTTGCGAGCATGTGCATCCATTATTTAAATTGATAGATGTTTAGAGAACAACTTTTAAAGTTTATGTGGTTTTAGAAGGATGATATGGATTCTCTATTTAAATGTTATATAAAGAAATCGATGACTATATATATATATATTTATAGGATACGTGAGCCTGTAAGGAATATTCTTCGGAATTCCAAAATATGCTTAATTGTTTATAATGCCAAAGTTTACCATGTATTTTCCGAATCTATAGTTAGCAAAAATATTATGTGATATCCTTAAATTTCGAATGCATATTAGGTACGTAATATCCTTATATATTCGAGATATTCACATTAATTAGATTTTAAATATCGTTCGTACTGTTTAAGCTACTTACGGGAATATATTATTAGAATTCTTTTATACTGTTTAAGCTACTAAATATACGGGATATTGATTTTTCTTATGAGTTATACTAAATTGTTGCACAGATCTAGGCTTCAATATTAAATGCCAAAGTTCTCGGTTATTTCAATCTTCTCCAAAATTTCCGTCGATGGTGTCGAATTAAATTTTATGAGTTTTATTTGTTTCTATAATTAAGGGATTCGATTATGATGGTGTCGAATTAAAATTTATGAGTTTAATTTACATCTATAATTGTTTCTATAATTAAGGGATTCGGTTATGTAGTTTTCTTATAAGCATATTGATTTTGTTTAACTTTTTTTTATTGTATAAACTATGATTGACTTATACAAAATACTTCCCTTTTAATAGTATAGATGTTCAAAAAAAATCCATAATATCCAATATTATAATTTAGACTCCATAATATAAGTTATTTTAAGAAAAATTGCACTTCATGTACTCAGTTGACTCTTTTATTAAGAATTTAACATTCATAATTGATTATTTTGCTCTCTTTCTTTTCAGACGGTTCTAACCCTATACTTCACTCCAAAACTTAGCTTTTCTCACAAATTTCTTACCCAGAGCCTTATAAGTGGAAGCCAAGATTATTGATTCGGTAAAAGAGCGATGGGTAGAAGATTAAACACAAAAGGCAAAATCTCAAAAGTACTTCTCTCTCTTTCTCTCTTCTTCTCTCTCGTCGTCACTCTGAGTGGATCGGAAAATGGAGCCATGTATTGAGAATTTACAGAGTCTGAGTTTCATATATGCGGGAACCACCGTGAACCGAATCGAAGTACAAGCTCTGGTTCTCGTTCCTTCGCCGCAGCTCTAACACCAGCACCATCACCCGCCGCAGCTCTAACACCAACACTTTTATGGCTCTCTTCTCCGGTCGATTTATCTATTATTTCTTGCATAGATGCTTGAGTTGAGTTGCATGTTAATAATTTCTGTTTTTTGTGCAGATGTATGATTTAAGCCTGCATTAGATAAGTATAATATTATCAAATACAAATATTTTTAGCTCGATAAATAGTAAATAATCAGAACTTATATTGTAGTTTTTAAAAAAAGTTTGTGACATATAACAAAATATCAGTAGCTATTGATTAATGTCTAATTATATTGTTATCAGTCTGAATTGGTTATAATATCAATTATAACATGTGGTTATTTATTTAATTAACTATGTAAATCATATGTTACTGCTATACATTATAATTTATTTGATAAATTCATAGTTCTCTAGTTAAATTATTTATAATATCATATGTTACCGCTATAAATTATAAGTTATTTTATAAACACATAATTATCTAGTTAAATAATTTATTATCTGACTGATCATATCAACTAACTTATATATTAACATATTTTTATAAAATATTTATATTACTGGTTTACATAAAATATTAATTTCCATTTTTATAGCAATAAATATTAAGTTAACGGATAATATGTAAATTACCACGATGACAGATTATTTAACATGTTTAAAAATAAGTTATCAAATGCTATTAATCACTAATGAACAATGTTATCGTACTCGTGAAATATATCTCGGTTTGGGTTTATAAAAGAGTTGTTAGGGTTTAGATTTTATAAAAAACAAAATATATTTCGGTTTGGGTTTATAAAATAGTGGTTAGGGTTTAGATTTTGTAATTAAGCAAAATTATATGTTGGTTAGGGTTGAAAAAATAGTAGTTAAAATAATTTTTAGTCAAAATACAGAAACTTAATA